CCCTTCCCCTTTGATGTCCACACCTAATGCTGACATATCTAAGGCTTTATTATGGTCGAACTTGTTCTCCTGATGAAGACTGAATGCCATCTTCAGGATTCCCATTTCTCCTCTAAGGTGCTGTAGGACTTCTTTTCAAAGCACAGACAGTGAAGAAAGATCACATGGTGCTTCCCAGAAAGCTTGGTTTCATTGCATCCAACTTTGTCAGAGCTTAAACTGCTCGTGCTGCAATTCCCTGCAGCTCATTCCTGCCTCTCTGGGCTGCAGGGGAACGTGGGGAGGAGAAGAAAAACTGGAGTGTAACAAAAAGATGAAGGGTTTGGAGTTCTGGGGCAGCACAAGGGGTCTGGCCACGAGCAGTGACACTGTGTAGGCAGGGGGGCTGGCAGGCAGAGGTTGTGGACAGGGACAGCCCCAGGGCAGGGCAAGGGGCTGAGGAAGGCAGGAGCCAGGTGGTGGGTGAGCTGCCCTGTGTCCATTCTGAGGCCTCATGCACATTTCTCCATGGCAAACCCATGGGTTCCAGGAGATGGAGACCCCATAGCTTCAGAGCAGGACTATCAGGTGAAGGTTTGGTCTCACCCATGCATTTTTTAGGCTGAGAAAGAGGGTGCAAGAAACTGCACCAAAGGTCCCATGGGATAAGGAACTACTGGAAAGAGTCCAGTGCAGGGCCATGGGAATGAGTAGAGGACTTGGAGCATCTGCCCTGTGAGGAAAGACTGAGAGAGCTGGGGCTGCTCAGCCTGGAGAAGAGGAGGTTGAGGGGGGATCTCATCAGTGCTTATAACATCTAGAGGGAGTGTCAGGAGATTGGGCCAGACTCTTTTCAGCAGTGCCCAGTGACAGGGGCAATGGGCACAAGCTGGAACACAAGAGGTTCATGCTAAACATCAGGAAAAACTGCTTCACTGTGAGGGTGAGAGCCCTGGGACAGGCTGCCCAGAGAGGCTGTGGAGGCTCCTTCTCTGGAGACATTCCAAACCCATGTTCACGTTCCTGCAGGATCTGCTGTAGGTGGTCCTGCTCTAGCAGGGGGGTTGGACTAAATGATCTTTATATATCTCTTCCAACCCCAACCACTCTATGACTATGGTGAAAGGTGTCTCTTCAGGCCCCGTTGGGTCTCCAGGGACTTCCACTACACCCTGGCCTGCTAAGACTTGCAGTAGAGCAAATATGCATGACCCAGTGGTGGGACTCGTGCTCTGGGTTAACACACACTGGCCATGGATCTGTTCATTGCCCCTGGAGCTTCTACCTCAACTGCTTTTGAAGTGCCCAAAGGTTGGGTTTCTCTTCATGGGAACTACTTGCCATGGCAGTGATTTCTCAGCCAGGTGGCCCATGAGTTATTCCAGGAAAGTTTTCTGGGGCTGTTGCACACCGAGCTTCCCAGCTGCCCAGGAGGTGGCAGTCCTGCCTCGGACTGTGTGTGCAACCAGAGCCCAGGCAGCACCAGAAGTTTCCTGAAGAGTGGTTTGAGGCTTTAAGGAAACTCAAGTCATAGGCTGTGTGCTTGGCTCTGCTGGGGAAGGAGAAGGCTACGTGGTGAGCCCTCATCAGTGAGGCCAGTTTGTGCTCAGCAGGCAAGTATGAATGGTGTGAACCTCAGCGATGGGACACTGCTGCTGTCAAGGAGGTATCAACACAGATGACCTGGAGATGTGAGGTCTGTGCAGCTTGAGCTCCTCTGAGTTTGAAGGCTTTGATCACAGCCAGGTGGAAGCTTCCTCATGAGGATCCAGCCCCTGACCACTGGCTGCCTCTTCCCCAGTGGAGTCATGCCTGGTGCCTTTAGCATTGGAGCAGGGAACCATCATCACTGCCAACCCCTGCCCCTCCCAGGAGCCCCATCTGTCCCCCTGCTGCTCATTTCCAGCCCCCAGCCCCTGTTACGTTTCCCCTTGGTCCCCAGGAAAGCTGAGGAGGGACTTTTGACAAGGAGGAGTGATAGGACAAATGGAAATGGTTTTAAACTGGAAGAGGGGAGATTTAGATTAGACATGAGGAGGAAATTCTTGGGTGTGAGGGTGGTGAGACCCTGGCCCAGGTTGACCAGGGAAGCTGTGGCTGCCCCATCCCTGGCAGTGTTGAAGGGCAGGTTGGATGGGGCTTGGAGCAGCCTGGGCTGGTAGGAGGTGTCCCTGCCCATGCAGGGGGTTGGAACTAGATGGTCTGAAAGGGGCTGGACCCCTCCCGAGGCCAGGGCCAGCCTGGAGGGGACCTGCAAGCTCCTGAGATGAAGCAACCAGGACAGGGGAGTAATTGCTACAGTCAGGGCTTGGCTGCTGCCTGCCAGACCTGCAGCCACAGCCCAGTGATTGCAACAAGATAGGAAAGAAAAGTCACTTTGCTGCCCAATACATGGGAGGGTATTTCTTGAGACAAGTAGCCTTGACCTCAGAATATCTCCTATCCATGGCAGAGGGAGGAGGAGGCTGCCTGGGGTGTTGTAGGGCTGTGAAGCAAATGATGTTGATCAGAACTGATCAGAGCTGGTGCCCACGGGGCTGCAGGGGCTGTGAGCACATGTGCAAACTCACTGGCTCAGAAGGAAAAGGGTGTCAGAAGGGTCTCTTGGAGGATGGCCCCAGGGCTGATGTGAAGACATCTGTATCATCTTATTTCTTGGGTTTGGAATGCAAAGGATTCCTCTGGAGAGCTGCATGTCACCAGTGGCACTGGGCAGCTCCTGGGTCCCCTCGAGCCCCTCTGGTGTGTGGGGGGCCAAGGGTCCTGCTGGCCAAGGGGTGGCCCTGACTCTGTGCAAGGGAGCCTGGCTCCAGGACAGCAGGGAAACAGCACAGCTCACCTATGGATATGAATAAGGGAGAAAAAGGGATATAATTGGAGAATTTTATTAAAATCTTAGATTTTATCTCCAGTAAAATTCCTCCCTGAGCAGCTTTAGTCACGCTCAGCCCCATGCCAGCTCCACCTTGCAAAAGCCTTGTTCAAACCTGTCTCTGTTAAAGGCTGTCCCTGCCACCTGCACCCACCAGCACCCACCTGCTGGGAGCCCCTTCAGCCTGTGTTCTCTGAGGACCTGTGGTACTTGGAAGTGCACAAAGTGGTGATGAGGTCAGAAGAGACCTGCCCTCCCTGCAAGGTTACTCCTAGCAATCTCAAACCTTTCCCAGACTGGTATGTCATGTACACAGGGTCCATGTGGCAGACCAGGAGCCCTCCTTCCCCACCAGGGAAGATCAAGTGTTAAACCATCACAGTGGGTTACATTAGCAGTGTGGAGATACCACCATCAAAGCACCTAATGTCGTTCTTCACTTGCTAATCACTGCATTCGTGGCAGTAAATTCCAGGATTTGGGAGATGGAAGATGATGAACAGAGTGTCCCTCCATCCCCAAACCCTCTGCAGTTGTTTGTGGCCCTGGCTCCCAGGGCTCAGCTCACTGGAGGCAGCAGATGGCATCATCACACAACCCCCAGCAGCCCTGATGTTCTTCAGAGGATTTTCTCTCTTGGTCCACGTTTACATTATCTCAAATCCTGCCTCTTGAAACACATTCATTCCCGACCATGAGCTTACAAACTGGCTCTGTCCTTGCATGTGTCTGTTCCCCTTTTCCCTCCTGTGCCAGTGGATGGTCACATAGGGCACTGGGAGTGTTCAGGAGGAAACTGGGACATTGCAGTAGGTGACATAGAACCATGGAATCATTTGGGTTGGAAAAGACCTTTAAGATCACCAAGTCCAACCATTCCCCCAGCCCTGCCAAGGCCACCATTGACCCATGTCCCTCAGCACCACATCTACATGGTTTTGAAACCCCTCCAGGGATGGGGACTCCACCACTGCCCTGGTTTTGAAACCTCATGTAACAGGCAGAGTTTGTGGGGGGAAAAAACCCTCCTACTTCTTTGATTTATGGATAAACTCCTTTGGGTATCTTGTTCACTTCCCTGCTTGCTCCGTTCCAATGGTTGAGCTCCAAGTTAGAGCCCAGGGGGAACTCTGGAAGGGTCTTGGAGTAACCTGAACTACTCTGAGCCAGGAATGCAACCTGGGTTTCACCTGCACAGGCAACTCAGCCTTGCTAGGCAAAGTCCCATCCATCCTGATTCTCTCTCCAGGAATGATGGTTTTGAAGCTGTTTATGTGATTCTGTCATTTTTAAAATGTGAAACTTTGGAAAATTGGGGGTTTTTTTCAGTATTTTTTTGCAACCATAGGCCCAGGCTGGCTTGGGCAAAAGTGTCATTTGTCACTGTAGGTTGTACTGTAGGAAACAGCACATGGTGGTGGCTTGGTGGCACGTGGCTGCCCCATGCAGAGGACATCCTGTGGGCCATGAAACTTCTGCACTCTCAGCTGGAGGAGGCATATTTTCCCAGCACCAAGTGTGACTCCTGCTTTTACCTGAGACTCAGACAGAAACGGTTTCAAGCTTCCACTGGCCTAGTTCCTTCCTGACACAAATCCCAGACATAATCAGCTGGACAGTTGCCACCACTTGGTTCATGCCTATGACCCCTAATGAGCCATGCGGCATGTTTGCTCCAGGACAAAGCAGGGACATCCCTGGGGTCTTCCATGGCACTGGTTTGCTGCATCCATCTCCTGTCCACCTCAGCATGGGTCCAGCAGGAGAACCTTAGAGCACCTTCCATTATGTGAAGGGGCTCCAGGAAAGCTGGGGAGGGACTTCTGACAAGGGCAGGGAGAGATGGGACAAGGGGGAAGGATTTCAAACGGAAAGAGGAGATTGGGATGAGATTTTTAGGAAGAAATTCTTTGTTGTGAGGGTGGTGAGACACTGGCTGAGGTTGCCCAAGGAAGCTGTGGCTGCCCCATCTCTGGAAGTGTTGAAGGGCAGGTTGGATGGGGCTTGGAGCAACTTGTGACGGGGGTCCCTGCCCATGAAGGGGAGCTGGAACTAGATGAGCGTTGAGGTCCCTCCCAACACAAACCATTCATTGATCTTCTGTCCTGCTGCACAGGCTTGTGTTAATTCACCCTCTCTCCTGCCCCAGGTTGGCCCAAGGACTGCAGTGAGCTCCCTGCTGGCAGCCCCAGTGGTGTCTACATCATCCAGCCCCCAGGCCTGCACCCCATCACGGTGCCCTGCGAGGCGGGCGGGACGGACGGGGGCTGGACGGTCGTGCAGAGGAACCGGCAGAGCACGGGGATCAGCTGGGCCGAGTCCTGGAGCACCTACAAGCACGGGTTTGGGAACGTGCACACCGAGTTCTGGCTGGGCACCGAGTACATCCACCAGATCACCCAGCAGAAGGTCTACCAGGTCAGGTTTCTGATCTGGGATGCTTCAAACAACATGCACGTTGCAGACTACAGCCTCTTCAGCGTGGAAGACGAGTCCCAGGGCTACCGGCTGCGGCTGGGAACGTACTCGGGAACAGCAGGGGATGCCATGGACTCAAAAAACCCCAGGAAGGTACACAACAACATGAAGTTCTCCACAAAGGATCGAGATCAGGACACCTACAGAGGGAACTGTGCCTCCAGATATGGAGGGGGGTGGTGGTTCTCAGCCTGTTATTCCGCGCAGCTGAACGTCAAGGGGCACATAACGTGGGGCAGCCTGTGCAAAGGCAACTGCAAAGCTTCTGCCATCCTCATCAAACCAGCTCCCTGCTGCTAGTTGCATTTTCATCTCCATTCTGTCCAACCTGCAGCTAATTCTGGCTCCGCAAAGAGATGGAAAAAGGCAAAACATGTCATGGCGAAATCTAGTGTCCTGGGGGGGCTTAGCTGAGGTTGGTCATCTCCCAGCTACTGAAGAAAATAAGGCATCTTCCACTTTTTCTCCCTTCTGTAGATTCCCTCTACTCCTCAACTGTGTCTTTATGCTTTCGTTCAGGGTCAGATAATTTTGATGATGTCAACAATCAGAACAGTCTCCTCCAAAATCTGGAGTTCCCACATCTGAAATGTGCTTCAGTTAAAATATGCAATGGCCAAACACCAGCATATCTGTACGGCTGTGTAAGTTAATTTACATCCTTAACTTCAGGCTCACTACCTCATTTTCACTTGCTGAAGATCTTGCTCAAGGCATTCATGGGCACAGTCAGATTCCCACTCTGTATCTTCCGCACTGCAGGCTTAATAGTTGTTAAATAGTCAGATAAATCTGTGCTCCAAAATCTGTCTCCACTGGAAAGGCCTGTTTAAAATCTTTGAAGTGCTCACAGAAGCTGATGTGTCAGGTTTCCACCTCTGAAGCTCAGCTTTCCTGTAGGACACACTTTGGGCACTGCAGGGCAAGAGCAGAGCGTAAATAAAGCTCAGGCCCCAGCCTTTGCAGGCAGCAGTTGAGTGGATGCATAGGAAATGTCAAAACCTTTTCATTCCTTTCAGCACCAGAGAGGCTGAGGTTCTGTTGTCCACCCTCTGCGCATCCCCAGGGGCCCTGGGGAGCTCATCTCCCGGGCCAGGGTCACGATGACTTCCATGAGCTGGCAGCCTGAAGAGAAGGAACAAGTCTGCCTTGGTTATTTTGAAACTGAAAAGAGATAGAATCATAGAATTGTTTTGGTTGGAAAAGCCCTTTAAGGTCACCAAGTCCAACCATTCCCCCAGCCCTGCCCAGGCCACCACTGCCCCATGTCCCTCAGCACCACATCGATACGGATTTGAAACCCTCCAGGGATGGGGACCCCACCCCTGCCCTGGGCAGCCTGGGCCAGGGCCTGACAGCCCTTTGAGGAGGAAATTGTTCCCAATATCCAAGATAAACCTCCCTGGCACAACTTGAGGCAATTTCCTCTTGTCCCACCCCTTGTTCCTGGGGAGCAGAGCCCGACCCCCCTGGCTCCAACCTCCTCTCAGCAGCTGCAGAGCCAGCAGGTCTCCTCTCACCCCCTTTGCTCCAGGCTGGACACCCCCAGCTCCCTCAGCTGCTCCTGCTCACACTTGTGCTCCAGCCCCTTCCCCAGCTCCCTTCCCCTTCCCTAGTTGAGTGGATGCATAGGAAATGTCAAAACCTTTTCATTCCTTTCAGCACCAGAGAGGCTGAGGTTCTGTTGTCCACCCTCTGCGCATCCCCAGGGGCCCTGGGGAGCTCATCTCCCGGGCCAGGGTCACGATGACTTCCATGAGCTGGCAGCCTGAAGAGAAGGAACAAGTCTGCCTTGGTTATTTTGAAACTGAAAAGAGATAGAATCATAGAATTGTTTTGGTTGGAAAAGCCCTTTAAGGTCACCAAGTCCAACCATTCCCCCAGCCCTGCCCAGGCCACCACTGCCCCATGTCCCTCAGCACCACATCGATACGGATTTGAAACCCTCCAGGGATGGGGACCCCACCCCTGCCCTGGGCAGCCTGGGCCAGGGCCTGACAGCCCTTTGAGGAGGAAATTGTTCCCAATATCCAAGATAAACCTCCCTGGCACAACTTGAGGCAATTTCCTCTTGTCCCACCCCTTGTTCCTGGGGAGCAGAGCCCGACCCCCCTGGCTCCAACCTCCTCTCAGCAGCTGCAGAGCCAGCAGGTCTCCTCTCACCCCCTTTGCTCCAGGCTGGACACCCCCAGCTCCCTCAGCTGCTCCTGCTCACACTTGTGCTCCAGCCCCTTCCCCAGCTCCCTTCCCCTTCCCTGGACACGCTCCAGCCCCTCAAGGCCCTTCTTGTTGTGAGGGGCCCAGAACTGACCCCAGGATTTGAGAGGGACAATCCTTGGTCCTGCTGGCCACATTGGTGCTGGTACAGGCCAGGATGCTGGTGACCTGCTTGGCTACCTGGGCACACTGGGTGGCAGATTGCAAGGTGCCCTACAATTCCTATGTGGGAAGACCTGTTCCCTGCAGTCCATCCCTCTGGCACCCACAGGGCTGCTCCTCCCAGGTGGGATTTTTTCATCTGCATCAGCCAGTTTTGGGGTTTGCAGGTGGGCACTGATGCCCTCTCACCACTTACTGCAGGGTGAACTCCACAACCACCACCTGCAAACAGGGTGAGTCTGTTGGTGCCCTAATGTTCCCCTGGCAGGAGGATATGACCTGGAAGCCCTCAAGCCCAGGGTGAGCAAGGGAAGCACCTCAAAAACATCTGCATGGTCCTTTGTTCCTGTGCCTGGACTGGCTATCAGCACACCCAAACACTGCCTGGGCTTTCCAAGAGCTGGAGCACACAAAAGGCTCCCAGTTCATCCCAGGAAAGGTGATACAGGTAAGGTACTTTATGTCTTTGGGGATTTTGGGCCTGTGCATGAGAGGTCTCGTTTGTGAAGGAGGGACTGGGATCTGAGCAGAGTGAGGGAGCACAAGGAGGGCTCAGGAAAGCTCTGACAGGGGCAGAAAAGTGACAACAGGTAAGTGACCAGACCAACTTTTGCATTGGTTTATGTCAGGACTCAACATCACAGCTCAGAAAATGCAGAAGTCCTCAAGCAGGATCTGCCAAGGCCAAGCCTGTGGACACACCAATTCCATCCCTGACCATCAACCCACTGGTGCCACACAACGTTTCCCACAAAAATAATGGCTTTGCACTTTTCTTGAAAGGCTCCAAATGTTCCTTCTTTGAGGGAAGCAGCACCCCAGCAGATGCCATCCCTTTCATCTTCCAGCCACCGTGGTATTAATGTGCTAAAAATGCCTCCAAGGGGGTGTGAATTTTAGAGTCTCTGGCGTGGTGATGAGAGCTGCCTTCCTCAGAGCTGGAGAGAGAGGCTGGCCAAGAAAACTGCTGAAAACCAATCTTTTCTTATCTTGTTATGTGTGAGGGGGCTTTTTTTATACACTCTAGTTTTACTGGGTCTTGGTGTCTGCCTTTTAGAGTGGTATTTCTCTGTCTGCCTCCTCCTAGGCCCCCGTGCAGTGAGTCATGAGGAGCATGACAGGCAAGAGGAGGCAGCTGCCAGCTCAGAGCAAAGACTGAACTCAGTGCAGAAGGTAATAACTTCAAGAAAATGTTCTCAGCTGTCAAACTTGGGGATTTCTTGTCACATTTAGAAACCTTCTTTTGGCTAGCTCTCCTGCCTTAAGATGGGTTTGGAGACACGTGTGGAGAGTGACCCAGGACCTGGTGGCTGCACAGCTCTGAGGAGGTGGAAGGCAGCAGGGAGGCAGCAGCTCCCACCAGCACGGTGTTCCCCTCAGCACCATCCCCTCCCACCATGGGAAGGAGGTACCATCAGGTATCCTGTCCTCACAGTGAGTCTCCTTGGCTTGATCAGGAAAGTCTCGTTTGTACCATGTCCTCTTGTTATCCCTAAACAACCTGGTTTTGCCTTTTCTCCAAGCTCTAGGGCTGTTGTGTGTCTAAAGGTGTCTTCTGCTCTCTCCAGAGAGGCTTGGACAGCTTGTCCCATAGTATCAGAAGTGCTGTGTGCCAGCTAGCCCTCTCCAGCAAGGTCCTCTTTCTGGCCAAGCAAGCCAGCACTCATCACCACCATGAAAGGCATCTCAGACACAAATGCAACGTGACTCTGAGGTTAGTAAGGAGAAGACATTGTCTGTGAAAGTTGTGAAATGCATCCCCTGGAGAAAGCTGATGAAGAGGCCTCAGAAAAGAAATCAGATGGAGCCTGTGACTCCCCATCCAGTGACAAGGAGAACTCCAGCCAGGCAGCCCAGGACAACCAGAAGGAAGCCATCCTGAAGGAGGATGACAACAGGAGGGAGAGTATGAGTAAGTAGTAAGCCAGCATGGGAGGAGGTAGCACCTGGCAGTGAGTATTTGAATGGATGTCATCTTGGGCCTGGGCTGTGAATGTCACATGGGAGGCTCTCAGGTTGTTCCAGGGGAGGTTTAGATTGGATATAAGAAGAAATGTCTTCCCTGAACGGGTTGTTAAACAGCAGCACAGGCTGCCCAGGCTGGTGGTTGAATCCCCATCCCTGGAGGTGTTTAAAAGCCCTGTGGATGTGGTGCTGAGGGACATGGGTCAGCACTGGAGTCGGGTTAATGGTTGGATTTATGATCTTCAAGGTCTTTTCCAACCAGAACGATTCTGTGGTTTAGGTGTTTAGAAGAAGCCATTTGAGAAGTGCAGAGGCTCGTTGCTTCCTCTTCTTCTGGGCCCCAGAGGGTGCTCTCACCCCAGGCTGTGCCAGGCAGCTTCCAGCAGGAGGGCAGGGCTGCAGGCCAGAGAGCCCAGGCACGTTGCCTGAGCAGTGCAGCTGCAGGTTGCAGTTTTCTCTTCCATCTCCTACTGCTGCCAGGAGCACTGGGAGCCCGTCAGCACAGGCCATGACACCAGAGAGCAGGGCAAGGCCACCTGGGATGGAAAGCACCAGGACTCTCCTTGCACGGCCGTGGCACAGGAAATTTCTTTCCAGGCAAAGGAAATACAATCAGCTCTCTCTGAACTCGGGTTTCCCAAACCTCTCCAAAGGATTGAATTATTTGGGATGCCACCATCTCTTTTGGATAAGAAACTGATATTCTGCCTTCCCTCAAAAGCTTTCACTGCTTTCCCTTGGCTGTTACGGTGTGATCTGACCCACCCTGAGTTACTGCTTCCCCTCCTTGTGAGTTCACCTCTGCTCCTCCTAGGGCCATGGAAGCACAGAATCCCAGACTGGTTTGGGTTGGAAGGGACCTTAAAGATCATCTAGTTCCAAGCCCCCTGCATGGGCACGGACACCTCCCACTAGGCCTAATCCAGGCAGTTTTGATGTGTTCAGTCTTTTCTTGCAGGGATGTCATTCCCACTCCTGCTCACCCCTTCCTCATCTCTGTCACCTTTTCCAGTTCTTCTGCATCTTTCCTGAACCAGTTGCCAAAACTGCACAGAGCCCTGAGCAGCCCCTGCTTTACACAGCTGTAGTTTCCTGCTGGGGGTCCGTTCCTTTCCTTCCAGTTTCTGAACTTTTTACTTTTACTTCTCAAATGCTCCTCAACCTTCAGCTGATGTTTTCAGAGACTTGCCCACAATCACCCCCAGACCTGCCTGGTAGCAGTAGCTAATCCAGGCTCCCCCACTGTGTCACTAGGGAGGTGCTTCACTGTACCCTTATCAACATGGATTTCATTTCCTTTTTTATCACCCACCCACCCTGCAGCCTGAAATCCTTCTGCAGCTTTCTCCAGCCACTTTTAGACATGACTGTTCTGAACCATTTGCTCCACCAGGAAACACTGTCCCTGGGCTATTTCCTGCCTTTTCTCCATCACTTATAAATAACCTGAGAAAGCCAAGCCCAGTAGATACTTGCAGCATCCAACAGCCAAGCTCTCTGAACAGGGAATGTTTACCAATTAGTCTTATCTTTGTTTCCCAGCTCTGCAACCTATTGATCTGCCACAGCTTGGTGTCTTTGGACAATCTGTGATAGATCTTAAAAGCTTTTTTGGATGACATTGTATTGACCAAATCACTGCTGCCCACACCCACCTCCTCCTTCCACCAACAGTGACAGATTTCTGAGCCACAACTTTCCTCTGTATTGACTCTTCCTCAGGTTGTTGTGTTTATTTAGGAGTTTCCACAAATCCCATGTTTATGACAATTTCTACCTATTTGCTAAGGGCAGAAACTAGACTCTTAACTCTGGAGATCCTGAGATGAGTCACAGCCTTTCAAAAACAAACACTATCTGTGCCACCTTGGTAGGCAAGTAATGGGTGGCATCCTGCTGTCAGCACACCTGAGATGTGCTGGGGAATGTGGTGAGGGCTCCTGGGTGATGGGCTCTGGTCCTAGAGGTCTGGACCTCTTCACAGAACCATAGAATCATAGAATGGTTTGGGCCGAAAGAGAACTTAAAGATCATTTAGTCCCTACCCCCTGCATGGGCTGGGACACCCACCAGCCCAGGCTGCTCCAAGCCCCATCCAACCTGCCCTTCAACACTGCCAGGGATGGGGCAGCCACAGCTTCCCTAGGCACCCTGGGCCAGGGTCTCACCACCCTCACAGGAAAGAATTTCCTCCTAATATCTCATCTCAATTTCCCCCTTTTCAGCTTAAGACTGTTCCTCCTTGTCCTATTGCTACACATAGAACTAGGAGGCACAGAGCAGGGGAGGGGGCTGGAACCCCTCTCAGGACACCTCAGAGGGAAAAGTGATCCATCCTCATGATGCAAATGAAGCTCAGTTAACTGAAGTCTTATAACTGAGTTCTCGTGTCTGAACAGTCTTGACCAGCAGCAGCAGCAGCCAGGTTTGCTGAAGCCTTGGGCCACAAGCTGCCAACTTGCACCTGGAGAAGTTGAACTTACCTTGATCTGTTGCTACGACAGGTGAAGAAAGGTCCCAAGACCAGCACAAACTGGGAGGTAAGAAGGCTATGGCTGTCAGCAGAAGCTGCAACCTGCACAGATAAGAGCAGGCAAAGGCCCAGAGGAGCCAGAGGAGGAATCCGACACAGATCACAGTGACCTCAGACCAGAAATCTTATTGGACCGAGAAGTGCCTGAGCAGGGTGTGAGGAAGGGGTGCCTGGATTGTCAGAGTGCCCAGGGGTTTCTCCTCTCTGGTTCCTCTCCAGAAGCACCAGCTCCAGCTGCTCCTATTGTTGTACCACCCCATTCAGTTTTTTCCATCCTGTTATCTGATGCTTGAGACTTCCCTGCAGGAAACCTAGGGTGGTGGAAACTTCTTTAACCTCCAGGACTGTGTGACAAGGTGTGTAAATCCCAGCCCAGCAGAGCAGTGGGTGCTCACGTCCCCTCCCCAGATGGGCGCACCTGGGAGCAGGGGCTGCTCCTCAGCACGGCTGGGTGACTCCGCGCTGAGCTGGCTGCCTGTTGCTGTAATTCTGCCTGTTTGTGTCCCTTAATCTGTATTTGTTCCCGGGAAGCGCGGGGAGATCCAGGAGGGCCGAGGCCGTAGGCAAACACGGGCCGGCTCCTGTCCCCGCAGCGTTGGCCATTAACCCCGGGTAAACAGAGCTGCTGCCAGCGAG